AAATAGTCAGATTACTCAGGCTACTGCTTTAAACGATATAAGCCAGCATCAATTGACCAAATACGAGAGCGTTCTGATAAGCATATAGCTCCACTGTCAGACTAGGCCACTGCAGAAAGAGAAATTTGATAATGTACCACATTCCCGTAGACGGCTATTGTCGAAATTTCAATAGAATTTGACTAATGGTTTAGTTTCGACCACATGTGGAAGCGAGCGTGTCAGCGCATTTCGAAAATTTTAATATTATATATCGATATCGTCAATGGTTCATTCTTGTTTTTGAATTTTTTGCGAAAAAAGGGGAATCTTCTTCAACTCAATGCACCCGCCAGTAAAAATGTAGCTGAAATAGACTACGAATTTCTTCCGCTGCTTTAGCAGACGTACACAAAACATATATTTCAGTTGGGTTAAATAAGCTAGAGAACTCTTAGAAATATATTTTTTTAACATGGTTTTAATATGGCAAGTATGTTACATATCGGCCCATCCTCATATATTCATATAGTATACATGTGTCTAAAATTCCAACCCAATAAAATTGAATCTTTCATTTATTAAACAACTCATTTTAGTTCGCAGAACTCGCGTTTGTACATGAGCGATGTGCAGGAACGATATTTACCTCCATTTTGTAGTTGTCGTGGGGTTTACAAATTTTTTTTATTCTGGACAAGCTCATTGCAATTCAATGCTAAAATTGCAGGTTTAAAACGATTTGATTTGGGTAAGAGGACAGTCAACTGACAACAATTGTCAAATTTTATATACAGCTATACAGCTGACAAGCCTCAAAAAATATAATAATGATAGAGGGATTATGGAGTAACTTCCGCTGAACCCATCAAAAATTCTGAAGTTTTTCTGTGTAGTTAAATTTTAGAGATGGCTTTATTAACTGGTAATAACTAGTTTAATGATTCCCTGATGGATACTAACTGATAGCGACAGCTTGATGTTGCTGTTATTTATTCCTCTGAACTAGTATTCTTGAGTATGATTTTTTACACTGTTACCACAAAATAGCATGATAATAAGTGACTTCAATGAGTCAAACCCCTCTTCTGAATAAGACATTAATACAGTTATGTACGGTTTTAGTTAAATTTTGTAACTTTTTGACGTATTGGAAGAAATTGATGGATTGTGCAAAAATTAACAGTGATCAACTCAAATGGCAACAAAGTTAAGAACTGGGAACTATCAGCTTATGATGTGAATTGATATCTGTGTTTTGTCAATTTTCGAATCATAAGCAAATAAAATCAATATTAAAGTGCACAATGTTTTATGATATTTATCTAAATAATCAAAACCGTAAAATATAAATTGTATATCGGTAAATATACGAAGTATATATTTTTGACAAGATAGCAGCGCATAAAAATAGCAAGCAGAGAAATTGCGAATCAAAGACAGCTACTATTGCGAATTAACATGAGATTAACAGCATTTTTGAGACGCTTGCTATAGTCAGAAGCCTTCATTATTGTAAGCTGTTATCAATTCTAATTCAAGTAGTTGTATTTGCAACAAATATTTATGTTAAAGTGGTATGTTATAAAAATATCATATAAAGCTCTCCAAAAAATCGTATGGATACTTCAATTCTAATACAAGGCGAGCGATAAGTTCTTATCTAAATGAATTGATATAAATGCTGACAATTTATAAATGGATTTCCAATATTGAATTATTTTGTGGAACTATAAGAAATCAAGTAATCAGCAGATTTTAAATTGAATTTCCAATGACCAGACGGTTGTATATGAAACTACCACTCGTAGACGCTATACTGATCGTCGACTTACATTACTTAATTCAAGTCTCCATATTAATAATCGGATGTTTTCTTTAGACGTGTGGTTTTCGATGAGGCAATACCTTTTTCGGAGTTCGGAGTTTTTGACAGCTGTTCTTTGATTTATGCATACCTGTTTAGTTTGCCATTCCATAATGAACAAGCTCACTTCGGAACAGAGTTAGTAAATTGTGGCAATTTATTACCAAAGCGATTAATTTTCACATGCTAATTTTGTTCAGCGATAAAGCTAACTTTTGGTTGAATGGGTACATTAATGAGCACAATTTTCGCATCTGGAGTGATAATAATCATTGTTGAGACCATTGTTGAGACGCCGTTACATCCTCAAAAAGTCACTGATTGCTGTGCTCTATGGGCAGGGGGAATCATTTGCCTATATTTCACCAAAAATAAAGTCGGCAATAATGTCACAATCAATGGTTAGTGACTGAATTAGAAGATATGATGTGGTCGACCGTTGGTTCCAACAAGACGACGCTACATGTCATACAACAAACGAAACAATCAATTTTACGAAGGAAACTTTTGGTGAGCGTATTATCTCTCGCCGTGGGTCTGTGGCGTAGCCTCCAAGCTCATGTCAAATAAAGGGGCTTTGTAAGGTAATGTCATAATCCCTAGATGATTGGAGCCTTGGAATAGAATATTCGGTGCGTTATTGCTGACATATGAACTCAATTCCTGCAAAACGGGGTCGAATATTGGACCTCTCGGCTGGAATTTACTCGAGTCAGCCGCGGCGGTCACTTGCCCCAAATCATTTTCAAAACAGAATGGCAAACCCTTATCTTAAAAATAAAAATAGGAATTCTTGGACATAACATGAAATTATATGCGTTTTATTTCATCTTGAAAACCAGATATCTAAACAAAAACACTTAGCGGTTATGGTTTTTTGGAAATATTCTGCATGCCAGAAGTTTATTCGAAGGCTTAATATTGCCTACCGAGGAAAATGTTTTATATAATTTCCTTCAACTCATTTCCTTACTACCACCGTTTGTTCCATATCTAATTTATTTGCCTCATCTATATTTAAAAGATATAAGGAACTAATTTAAGCGCAATAATCTGATAAAAATTCCACCCAGCTGCCGCTTTTGTAAATTTAATTAAATATATTTATAATTTTTCTTCTTTATAAGCCGCTGCTTACAAAAATATCTCATGGCAACTCTATCCCTCGCAACAATACATTATAACGAAGTATCCTTGACACTTTCGTACTTTCATGTCACACCTCAGCCCATTCTTGCCACTCATCCGGATGTCTTCAAATTTCAATGAGTAAATGTTTTATGGCCATAAACCCGATCTAAAGCCGCAAGTAATAAAAAACCTTTCGCTCACATTTAATCACCTCATAAATATAAGAGCCTTTACATTTGTATATGTATGTGTGCGATATTAAACAAAAATTGCAAGAGCAAGAATTTCAATGTCAGTAGACTTAGTCCAACAACACTGTTAAGCTACCATATATATGTATGTAGAATAGCAGTTGAGTTGCGTTGAATGAGTTAAGCTCTCCGCGTCGGCATTCTCTTTCGCACGTCAGTCTTATCAATCTGATGATTGTGGTCAAAAGTGATAGCATTCGTATAAAGTTTAGATATGTCATAAAGTTAAGTGTTAGTAATAAATACAAGTATAACATTTGTTCTTATGTGTAAAGCCTTCTTCTATGGTCTTAGACAATTACTCTTTACAGGTTTCGTCGCTTACTTGCCAAAATGTCAAAAGAATGTGTTATGGTAAATTAAATTTTGATTGAATCGCGTTTACGCAACTTAAATGACGCGTAAAGCGAAATGCGCGATACGACAAGTAGATAAGCCCTAGTGCCTAGCATGTTTTTGGGTAAAAACCAAACGTTGAAAATAAATGTCTTTAATTGATTGTAGGCACGGGTCAAAGAAATACTTGTAGTTCTTCTTACTCCAGGTCCATTCGTGACCCAAACTTATTTATCATTCTTTTGCAGCAAATAAGTCCATGAGTGGCTAAAATTGGAAGGATTGCGTTTACTCTTCTAGATTTCTTATTATTCTAGCATATTTATATTTTAACCAATCCCAACTTTTAACATACTTCGTTTTCAAGACGGACAATATTTTGGAATTGCTAAACCTACTCATGAACTTCATTTTATTAAAAGAAGTTTTACAAACCTCCAAACCCCAGTATAAAAATGGAAGAAATCCCATTGAACCAAGCTAATTTACATATGTATGTAAAGTACTTCTACCCTTATCTCCAAACAACAATTCGACAATAGTCCATGTCAAATTACTTGAAGATATCTCGTCAAATGAAAAAGGTTACCATACAATCCCTTTACTCTGATAATTCAATTTGTATGTCAGTTTTATGTTATAGTGGTGCCATATCGGTGGTTCCAACAAAAGAGCAGTTTCTTGATGAGAGAAGGACGTGTGCAAAATTTCAGATCGATATCTCTAAAATTCCGTCTCCGACGTTTCCTTCTGGGTGTTACCAACTTCGTGACAAACTTAATTTACCTTCTTCAGGGTAAAAATTTTTTTCCACAAAGTTATCGATATCAGTGGTTTCTTTGGAGAACCTTATGTAAAGATTGTAAATAACTGTAAGACGAATATATTATGTGAGGAAAAATTGAACTTTTGACTTTTCGAATTTTGAAAACCTTCAAGGAAGTTTGGAATATTTTTGGGTTAATATTTTTTATTTAGCTACTATTACCTTTACGATGATATTGGCATAATACGGAGTGGAAATATACAGCAAATTGTTATTATGAATGACAAATCACCTTGAAGAAAATACAAAGGTCGAAGAGGTATCTAGCAAATATTGATATAGAAATTATTATTTTTTTTCGAAAAATGCGATTATCTTTTGTTTAAAATTAAAGGAACTTTGAAATATTTATCACCTTTTGTTTAAACGGGCCTTGAAAGAAATTAAAGAAACACATCTTGTCTGACTCAAGAAATCTTAGTAGGATTTGCTGCATTAGAAACAAGTTTTGAACACCATAGCGTACAACTTCCAATATATGGCAATTATGCAACACTGGCATTTATCAGAAACGTAAAATTTCCAAACCTCACAATCAAAAATTTATACACTTGGAAGCATAGATTTAATACAACAACGACAACTTTATACAGTGCTTACTGCAAGCGATAACACGCCCTACTTACATGCAAAGATAAATACATACGAACTCGTATGTGGTTCTACTTGTCGAACATGGAAACCACTTCAAACCGAGTAAACAGAGCAGTATTACCCGTCTGAACAGCCAGCCACACAGACCGCTTGCGGCTTATCAGCGAATAGCATTGACCATAAACTCATTAGCAATATCAGGCAATTGCTTACGGACACACATACACACGCAAATTACTATTTCGTTACTCATGCAGCCAAAGGGGGAGCAGCTGATCCAATTTGGGAGCAACAGAGAGTGAAAGAGAGATGGAGAGAATGGAAGAGTGTCCATAAGCGCACGTAACGCAGGCGATAATGGAGATGGGCGTCTAGCTGAGTGTGACTAACAATAAAACAGCAACAGCTACGAGAGGCATTTGTACACGCCGAGGAAGGCTTTCGACGATCGCAGAACACCCAACCCGCCTAATTTTCATTTAGTACAAGCAAAACAGCGCTACGGTTTGATTGTCCGACGGCGGCGGATGTGAATGAATGCGATTAAAAGCGAGCTCGTAGAATCAGAAGAACGCGTCCAGTGAGCGTCGATAAAAAAACTACTTCATTTATTTTGCTTTGTGAATTTTATGTGCGTGCAAAGTGCGAGTTCAATGGCTACAATTTACAGAAGCAATGAAATAAAATGATATGAAAAGAATGAAATACGGGTTTTGAAATGTATGAAATTTGTATATAAAATAATAAATAAATAATTTAATAAAGAACAACACAATACCCAAAGATATAAAGAATTGCAAAAAAATTAAATATAACAAATTAACATAATATTAAAGTTGTGTTGCCAAATAGAATATATAAAGCGAAAATAACCTTGAGTATTCTTATCATTAGATGTAAACACTCGCTTCTAGCTCATCACCCACTGCTTGAGTGCTTTGCGCTCTTAACCCGCTAATGAAAGCGTAAATATAGCGGATTGAGGTGGAGCTTGTTGTAGTAGAATTGTGTAAACTTAATATTTCAAAGATATGCAATAAGGAACATTATATATTCATAAGACTGCGTTCAAAGGCGGACTCTTTTTGTCGCTCATTATCGGCAAATTTTTTTTTTTGATGTCGCTCATTGTATCAACACAGGTAACACGAGTGCGACAGCTTGAGTCGGACAATTTTCTGAATTTTCTTTCATTTCACATTCGCAAATTCCTGTACGTTTCATATAGGCGGTACACAAAAATATTATTGATTAGCTAATTTTTAGCATAAAGCATACAAAAGATAGATAATAAAACTCAAATTTCTGAACAAAACGCAAATTTCTTTCTGAAATTCGTAGCAGCGAGTTGTTACGAACCAGAACACAAAGCGTGCCACCTTTCGTTTTTTCCTTACCCACAAAACCGGTTTGGGCGACAAAAAGAGTCCTCCTGTAAACATAGTCTAAGTAGACACACGTGTAAGAGTGATCTGAGGTTTTTTTCAATCTCCTTGGAGATTACATTTACTCGGAGGTTACTTATCCCGTATACACTGCTCGAGACAGTGACACCGTGAGCAGACGTTTTCATAATCATTGTCCTGTTGCACACCATTATTAGATTGGCGGTGTCTTAATTGGAACTTACCAGCTTGCAATGTTTCAGTATTGAAATAATAATTTTAGTTAAATATGACCCTTTGGCTGCACATTCACTCCCTGAAGCTGTATCAGCTGTATTTTTATGAGTATAAAGGACTCAGTCACAGCGATTCATTTCCAGCGATCATTCTCTTGAGAGCTGAGTGCAGGAAAAAGTTGTAGGGCCGAGTTCTAATAACACAGTGAATGGGGAAGCCATCCCGGAGCACGCATAATGTAAAGAGCGTTCACTTACTTAAATAGATGACATTTCCATCATGTTACATTGTAAATAGTTCTGTAGAGGTTTTTGATGTTTTCGTCCGTAACAACCTCTCTCGATAATGTAGCGGCGGAAAATATTTAGAGGAACGCGCCGAGTTGACAATTCTTGGTTGGACAAACCCCGGTTCCAGTCTGATTGCGTAGACCCGACTGTCATATAAACTTTTGCTTTCATACAACCCTCAAACAGTACGGCCATTGATCAATAGCAGCACGCACAGTTGTTATTGGTATTGACGATGCTGTTCGAAGCAAAGATTTTTGGGACCGTCCAAATTTCTGTGGTGTATTCTACAGTCCATGTTCTTCTCAAATAAGTCGATATATCGATTTTCCTTGACTTGGGAACTTTTCCGATGCGTTCGCGAAATATTTTTTTAACTGAATTGGTTCGATATTAAGTTTTTTTGACAAACTCATAAATTCAAAAAAGAATAACAAAATATTTTATATTTCCTCTGAGATAAGATAAGTAGGTATCATAACATAGTTTATTACCCACTTCCAATTCCATATCAACGAACCAGAAAATTTATATTATAGCTAAGATTCTGATACAAAAGAAATAACACCGATTCTTATTATAGGTAGATATACTTTTAGATTATTTCTGCACAACTACAGTGCAATAAATTAATTAAAATAATTGAAGTACTTAAGGTGGCCGCCGCCGCCAAGTGGCTTGAGAGCTTGATTGTTAATCGATAATTTGTGAGTTCGATACTACGGTTCCGGTGATTCCGGAAAATGTATACAAAAATTGGGGGCAACAACTTATGCAGTTTGAATGTTTCTCGATTTCAGCTTTTTAATAACATTGTTGGACCAAATTTCATCTGCTTAACCAAATTCCTAAAGTGACTACCTGCATTTTTGCTTTGGTGTAGTTCTAATTATTTTCATTAATGATGACTGGATGATTCTAAAGGTATATGCGAGTACATATGTATATGTATGGTACATTCCACAGCATTATATATTTTTGAAATTGCTGATAAAATCCTCAATTACGAGAATATTTTTTATTTTTCAATGCATAGGGTAAGAGTTTTGAGTAACTGCTTCACCGTTGATAAGGATGTTAATTCTGGGCTTCTGGGCCAACCTTAAAAGCTTTACACCTATTTTTAATATACAATATAACAATTTAAGTCAAATGAAAGAGTAATTAATGTAAATAATTTACAGATAAAACGTAAAAAGTCGCTTTATTGTGAAAAGCATGGGAGTATGTTGAGAAATCGTTTTTTTTTTTTGAAGCACATTCTGGGCTTCTCAGATGTCTCCAAAAACCCACTCGGAAAATATTAAATATGGAGCACATTGGGACATGTTGAGAAAACAGTTCTCTTGTGACATAAGAATAAGTTTCTCAGGAATCAACCAAGTCCCAGAAAAAAAGAAAACCTATTTTGTTAGCCGATAATTTTTGACTTTTCAAATACTTTTCGGCACCCACCAAGAAAAAATTTTAATGTGGAATGTATTGGAACTTTTTAAGAAGTAAAAGTCTGTCTGCCAAAATTATGATTTTGACTTTTGATACCTAACGAGAAAATAAAGGAGTGTGGAAATAAAAACCTTTACTTTCAAGAGTATTTTTGACTTCCAAGCAAGTCACAATAATATTTTTAACTGCGTAGCTTCTCGCAAAAACCCACCAACACCTTAATTTCATAGGTGTGGAACTTATTGGAACGTATTCAAAAAACCCGCTTTCACCCATAAGAATATATATTTCTGCCTTCGCAAATGTCGCCATTACCCACATAGAAACCAATTTATTGTGAACGCATTTATTAATTATTTAATAAAAATATTAAAAACCTACATAAATTTATTTAAATTTTTCTAAAATATTCGATTAGTAAATTAAATAATTAAGTGCTTATTCATAATCAAAAACATATCAAGAGATTTTAATATATTACAAAGCATCAAAATTTCTTACAGTGTACCAAATTAACGATGTATTATTTTCCGCATAAAGAACACACAAATTGCCGCTAAAATTGCCACAAAGAAATGCAAATTAAATAAGTTTTTCCTCAGTTTACACTTTGTCACCTCGAGTGTGAAAAGCAATTGAAGCTAAAGCAATGCCGCAATGAAACAGCAACAAACATCATTAACAGCAATAAAGTCAATTGAATAATATTTTCTGCTGAAAATAACTCAACTCACACGCGACTACACGAGGTGCATATGTATAAAAAAGCACAAATAACTACAACAACAACAAAAGAAATATACAATATACAATAATATATCTACATATACATATGTATGTATGTCTATACAAGTAGATTTACCATAATTGTATATAGACTATGACTAGTGTATAGAGAAAACGAGAATAAATATGAAATAAAGCACAATAGAAGCTTATCCAATAAAAACACAAACACACTTACAAATAAATAAAACACATTCACACATACACAAATAAGTGTCTAAATAAGTTGGGAATATGTCAAAATATCAACTGCTACTCGAACCGTCTGCCACCGGCGATGAAGATGCTCCCACAACAGTCGTAGACAACAATGACAGAACAACAACAACAAATACAAGCCTCCATAATGCCGCCGAGAACCTACAGGCGCTGCTCTACACCGACAGCAGCAACGATTCCAGCAGCAGCAGCAGCGGCGGACATGCGCGTGTAGTACACAACAACAACAATAGAAGCGGTAGCAATAGCATGCTTAGGCCCAGCAGCGGCAGCAGCAGCAGTTGGGAGTACAGTCCCTTCGACAGTGTCAGCGCAAACAGCAATAACACCAACAACAACATTAATCAAACAAAAGCGACTGTGATGTCAAGAGCAACAGCAGCAACAATGAGTTTAGCCAACATGGAAGCGAAAACGTCATCAACATCACTATTGTTGGACGCTTACGAGGCGGATGACACAACGATGGAGGTGCCACTGCTTGGCGGAAATGATAATGCAAGTGAAATTCATATGAAATTTAGTCAAACAAAGGCTGACTCTAACATGTGTACATATAACACTACTGTATACCTACATATACATATGTGTGTTTTTATATAAATTGTTGTTGCTACAATTACCTGCGCTACTCATTTACCCATAATCATAAACATGTATATTGGTATGTGCAGTAGTATGTAATCGTGGTTGTCATTGTTATGTATGTATGTAATTAGGTGCTTGTTATTGTTTTGGGTGGCCGTGTCGTTGTTGTTGTGGGCACAGTTTTAGGCATAAGCAATCGTTTCCATCATATTCATACAAGTATAATGACTTAATGATAGCTTGGCAAGTGCACTGAGTGTGGTGAATTTGGATAATCGTATTCCCTAGCAGCTACCGCAATAAGAAAGTTAAGGCTGCAAATAAGTATACCTCTATTTAAGGTTGTAATTTATCATTTAATGTATTCCTAGTGGCACTACAAGTTTAAACTTGATAGATCCATCTAATAATATAGTATTTTTTTTTAGCTTATATACATCATTGAAATTTGAAATTTAATTTTATAAAACTCCCAAAATAGTCGAGTCTACACGAACTAGAAAAGACCTAGACTTAAAGGGGTTTCCAATAATAGTGATATAATTAAAAAAAAAACGAAAAACAAGTAAGGAAGGGCTATACTCTCCACATATTCAGTACCTAGAGGCTTGAACAGTTTTGGTTTAATTAAGATAATTTGTGGTCACAAGGTGGCATACTTTAAACGCATTATTCACGCAAAGTTTTACTCCGATATGATCATTGTTGCTTGATTTGCATACTGGAAAGTGAAAGATTCAAATGGAATTTAAAATGGTGCCCATTTTCGCACTATAACATAGAAGTATAAAAATAATGTTATGTACCGAATTTGGTTGAAATCGGTTAAGCGGATTCCAAGATATGGGTTTTCCCCTAAAAGTGGGTCAATGTAGCTAGAGGTGCTAATAATATTTGCTTCCGTATAGCTTACGCAGTTTAGGAGATATGCACATTAAACTTATTAGGGGCGGGACCACGCCCACTTAAAAAAAAATGTTAACTACAGATGCCCCTCCCTATTGTGATCCTATTGTGATTTGTACCAAATAAGAGTCTTGTATCTTATTGCAGAGCTTAGTTATGGCAAGTTATTTGTTTTTGATTAATGGCGTTTTTTAGGCGTGGTAGTGGTCCGATTACGCCCATCTGCAACACCAACCGTCTTACGGTACCAAGAAACATGTCTAGCAAGTTTCATAATTTTTACTCAAATTACAGCTTGTACAGACGGACGGACGGACAGACAGTCAACCGGATTTCAACTCGTCTCTTCCTCCTGATCATTTAAAGTGAAGTACAATCAATACAATTAGGTTCTGGAAATAACATCATTCAAATTGTCTCCACGACTTCCTTTGCAGGAACGAGTTCGATACAGCCAATTTTTGAGTACTTTATCCACTAAATCAAGTCGTTGTTATGATCAGCATGTTTAATATTGACTTCTAACATAAAGCTTGAAGAGAGTCTGGTTTTTTGCAAAAGACCAATGACTTCAAATAACCCCACAAGAAGTAGTCTAATGCTGTTAAATCCCAACTTCTTGGAGGCAATTTAATGTCACAATTTCTTGAAATTATCATATCTCCAAATTTTTCTCGCAATAATTCGGTTGTTGCACATCCTACGTGGCACGTGGCCCCGTCTTGTTAGAACTAGATATTGTCCAAATCAACTTCTTCCAATTGCGACCATAAAAAGTTGGTTATCATCGATCTATACAGTAAAGGTCTCTCCATTGGAGTAACCAGCTTCATTTCGACAGAAGTTTGGACCGAGAATTCCACCAGACCAAAAACCACACCAAACTGTCAATTTAGGTGCACTGTCAATAAGGTTGTTCACGAATAATTTGTGGACCTTCTTCACACCAGAATTGACAGTTTTATTTATTCACCGCACGATTATTACGACCATAAAATGGCAAAAGTCATGATGAAATTGTCAAAGTAACGAAATACAATGAAAATAAAATTACAGATCATGATATATTTTAAATGGCCGAAACGACACTTAGAAATCATATCACTCTTATTTAAAAACCCTTTATATGCTGTTTGAAAACTTATCGAGATTAATAAAACGCTGCTGCATGTCCTAAAATTGTTTGGGCCGGCATTTGTGCCAAAACTATATAATTATACCCTGAATAGGTTGAAATTTGTCACACCCAGAAGGAAACGACGGAGACCCTATAATATATATATGTCTGACGAGTTGAGTATATTAAACCATGTCCGCCTCACTATCTGCTTTTCTGTATATATGCGAACTAGTCAATCATGTTTTGAGATATCGAATTATTAAAATTTGCACACGTTATTTTCTCTTCAAGAAGCTGTTTATTTCTCAGAACCGCCAATATCGAAAAGCTGTAGCATATAGCTGCCACGCAAACTTATCGATCAAAATCAAGTCTCTGTAAGAAAAACTTTTTTATTTGACGAGATTCCTTCACACAATTTTGTACAGATCATTGCCAGCGGTAGCGCAATAACCTTCGAAGAACTTGTTCAGATGGAACAACGATTACGTATAGCTGTCATTCAAATGAATCAATTAAAATATAAATATAAACATATATATAGAGTAAAGTCAGCCTAAAGCATGTTTTCACTCGATTTTATTCATTTTAGGCACAAAAATACACGCTTTCTCAATTTCATTAATTTAACAAGAACAAGAACAGTTACAAGCATTAGCTCACACATTGATCGATATTTTTGGCAAAAATTGGCTTGAATAATAATGGTTCGATTTTGACACTTTTTGGTCGTAATATGAAACACCTTAAGGGCACTATTTGTGTAAATTTTTATCATGATATACCAATTAGTGCTTAATTTGCATACTGGAAAGTAAATGGGAAGCAGGCGTGGTTGTAGTCCGATTTTGCGTATTTTCAAACTGTTACATGGGAATGTCAAAATAATCTTATGCACCAAAGTTAGTTGAAATTGATAGAGTAGGTTCAGAGATATGTGATTTCACCTAAATGTGGGCGGTGCCAAACATATTATCCAATTTTGACATTGGATCCTATAAAGTCCTTTTGTGTCATCTCGGATGTAAAATGTCTCTGACACATTCCGTTACTGATTTATAGCAGTTTTAGTAGTTTTTAACAAAACCGTTATATGGGGAGTGGGCATGGTTACCATACGATTTCACCTAATTTCATACTGTTGCAAGAGGTGTCCTGTACAAATTTGGGTGATTTATCTATAATTGTTTGGGAAACATATACATTAAACTTATTAATGTGCAGGGCTGCGACTACTTTTTAAAGATTTTCAAATCACAGGTGCTCCTTCCTAATGCGATTCGTTGTATCGAATTACAGTTTTGTATCTTAATTTACGACTTAGTTATAGCAATTTATAGGTTTCCGATTAATGGCGTTCTGTGGGCGTGGCAGTAATCTGATTACGCCTATCTACGAACTTGTCCCCAAAGTACACGTGTACCAAGTTTCATTAGCATATCTCAAGTTATCGTTTGCACGGACGGACAGACAGACCAGAGAATCAGAATTAATTATGTTAGATTTACGAAGTTTCTACCGAGGTCTAGACCAATTCCATTCATATTCAGCACTAAATCACATAATTTTTAAAAAAGCTTGTTTCATTAAAATATCACACATATTGACTAACCTAAACGGTTAAAAATCAACTGAGAAACCGAAAATCACTATATAAGGTATATTGGCAACAGAAAAAGATATAGACTGATTGCATTAATTTTTGACATGACGCGGGTATAATCGCTAACATATTTTCAACAATTTTAAAAATATATAACTCACAAACTGACCGACATAGTCGGCATAGGATTTGTTAGAGTAACGTATATGAGTATGTAGTATAGTGAGTTGGGGTAATTCATATTTTTACCAATTTTACATATTTTCGCAATTCAACTATAGAATAACCTAATTTTCCTAAGACATCCTACATATTTACCGATATACGCTATAAAGTCACCCAGAAATTTGAAAATCCTATGTTGGGTATATGGAAGAAATGGGTTGATTGATCTCTGAACTATCTCGAATAGTTTTAATTGTTTCAAAAAACCGTTAAGTATTCGCTAAATCAAAAATATAACTCATCGTTTATGTGTGCGCAGTGGGCTTTAAGTTGGCTGTGAATAACAAGATATTTAAAAGCAAATTCTGGGATTTTTAGACATTATTCAGTGTAAGCCATTGCATGGTAGTAAATTGACAAAGCATACGTATGTATATACAAGTATGTCACATATGGTAATTGTCATAACTTGCGTTTACTTTAATAGCTGGTTTGATAGCTATTCATCTAAAGGATTATACCTATAATTACTAATAAACACCTTATGTTACGAAAAACTATAAAAAATGTACCATAATTTTTTAAATTTATTGTATTAAAATATATTTTAATATAATATAATATGTTAAAAGTCATTCAACAGCAATCATGCTATAATTTATCACAATTTATAATCTTCTTAAGAAAAATTAATATTATAAATTTTAGGTTTCAAAAATATTGTAGTTATATTCTAATCCATTAAATTCAGAACGCACAGCCTATTTTGGAATGTGGTGAATCACCTTCAGGATCCTAAATGAACTGAAGGTGTACTATTATTATGCTTATGCTTCATTTCTACGCGGCTATATTCTACACACGTAAAGTCTATAAGCATAAACGGCAAGTTTTCTACTCGAGGTGAATTCTGAATAGAGTTAATTTGAAGGCTGCCACTCTACTTTTGTCATTTCGAAATGTTTTTAATATTAACAAACAGTAGCTACATATCAAAGTACACTTATTTAATATTTCTTTGAATCACTTTCATCACATCGACTTTTAATTAGCTGTAATACCACTTCGTGGCAAACTTAAATATTTTTTATATAATTTATGCACTTCTTTTTTACATTTTTTTTTTAAATATGTCTTATACTAAATTGAAATAGCTTCGGTATATGTAAAACGATTTGTACCTACATATTTATTACAAGTATAACAAAAAGCTCAAAAAAAAAAAATTTAGTCACTATGAAATACTTTTTCAATAAAATTATATTGGTGAAAAAAACACAACAAATTGCGACCATAAAAAATTTAGTACAACATACTCGCACAATATAATTGAATATTTATTTTATACATTGAATTTAGAAAAAATCAAAAATCTATACAGTTTGCTGCCTCTAAATATCCGTTAATCCTACACACAAATGTTCGCCGAATTTTCAACTCGCTTGTCAAGCATGCAATCCATTTTTTGCCGCCGGCAATCAGCGGCAACTCTCTAATGCGGCATTTTTTAGCAGCGTCATTAAAAATGCAAAAACAATTACAACAACATTGAAATCACAAAAAACTATTTGAAATTAATACAGCAATGAAACACCGAGAACATGCGGCGCATCAACAAGACCTTTCAAATCATATCTCGATAAATCAAAAAGCTGCAAACAATTTATATGCAGCGCGCATAACGGCACATATATAGACGACAGCTGCACAAATTCATAATTAAATATTTACTTTCGGAATAATAAAGATGCGTAGAAAAAATGTTGGCGCTGTTTACACGGGTAAATGGTGCGTTCTGATTATTGTTGTTTCCGATTTAGTGTTTGATAAACGATTTTTTTTTTATTTTTTTTATTTATGATTTATGCTGCATATTTTCAAAACATTTTAGCCGAAATTTAGCGCACAGCGCGTAGTGATGAGCGGCAATTGCATTGGTGAAATTTAAATTGCATGCCATAGGACTTTTTCTATGGATATATGTGTGTTACGATAAACACACACGTTATTTGTATGTGTGTGTGTGTGTTTGTGTTCGCGTGAGTGAGTCAAACATAAATACGCCCTTTGCTTTCACAAACAATTCGCATCATTGAGCGCGTGGGATTTGTAGAGCTTTGTATATGTGTGTGTGCATATATGTGAGGGCGTGTTTGTATGCACTTATATAGAGGTGTATGCTTGTGTTTCTCTCATGAATTATGCACCGTGCATTCCGCGGCTGTAAACAAAAAACACGCAAAAATATCCAAACACTGTCAGCACGACAACGGCATAACAACAATTAGCAAATAAATGATAAATTCATGTAAATAAATTAGAATTGCATAGGAAATTTCCATTGAAAACGCTGGCAAAAATTCGCTGGTAGCAAATCAAAATTGCGGGCATAAATAATAGAGTTGCATTTGCAGGAATTTTTCGGCATACAAATAATGCAAGTGGCATGTGCATTGGCAAACACAGCAACATGACCAATTATATAACGGGTGCTTTTTTAGGCGTGTAGTTTTCAATGAGGCAATACTTTTTTCAGGGTTGGTCTTTTTGACAGTTATTACTTGATTTATGTTTCGGTTAGTGACCGTAGAACCAAAACCGTAGAACGTATCAGCTGATTCGAACATTTTTATTAGAGCGCACTGTAAATGAACACTCACCACTGCCTCTACTGTCCGCTTCTGCCATCTGTACCGTGGGATATACGCGAAAATTGGATTTTTCCCGCAGAAACGAATCAGCTGATTACTCCCTTACAGCACAGAGTTCCCAGTCTCGTTATTTAATGGTAGTCCAAAAACAAACTTGAGTATATTTTAAATATTCTTAAACTAACTCAAAATCTACAATGGCAACATTGCTCAAATGAAAAAAAACAACAACTTATTTCTATGTTGGGCATAACTTTTGTTTGATACTGGCGGTAAATACGGAAGGGCGGAACGTCGGTTATTAATTACAGCATTATACTCAGTTTGGTTTGCTATTTCATAATGAAAAGACTTACTCCGGAACAACGTTTACAAATCGTGCAAATTTATTATCAATAAAGCTGGTAACTTGAGCAACCATGCATCGGTTTTGTATCTCGTTTACTTTAGTGGATAATATGCATCGAAGACGCTATTGCTGCTGAGGAGTAGAGTATCGAAGAAGAGCCGAATGAGTCCATCGGGCGGCAACAATTGGAGCTGTGCCCATCTACTCTATGAAAGATTTTGCGGAAGGATCAAGAATTGAAGCGGAACGACCATCAAGCGCGTCGCACACTAAGTGAATAGCCGCAAAACGAGATGGTGACCGAACACCGATTTTATAACAAAATGTTGTTCAGCAATGAAGCTCACTTTTAGTTAAATTGATGCATTAATAAACTAAATTGGCGCATTTAGAGTGATGACAATCCACAAGCCATTGTTGCGACGCCTTTACATCCTCAAAAAGTCACTGTTTGATGTGCTCTATGGGCAGAGGGAATTATTGTTAAGGGAATATTCGGCGCGTTGTTGCTGACATATGGCCCCAATTGTTGCAAAAAGTAGTCGAAGATTGGGCCTATCGGGTGGAGTTTATTCGGTCGCTTGCGTGAAATCATTTTTAAAACATACTATCAAACCCTTAACTCTATAATAAAGCTAAATGCTTGGCCATAGCATTAAACTATTTACGTTTTATTTCTTTTTGAAAACCACATATCTAAAAAAAACACCCTTTATATGTTGTGTGTGTGTGTATTCGGAGCGCTAGCAAATATAGTTTGTTTATTTATTTAATGCAGAACCATTCATTCGACCGAATACATTTGCAACAATTTCATGCTACCATTGAAACAAACATACAAAAATACACATACACAATAATAGCAACATGCATATATACGCATACATACAAACATACGTGTTACTCTGCGTCATTTATGCCTTACTGCAAATATAATACTTGTTGTTGTTGTTTTTGTTATTTTTTCAATTATTTGTGTAAACACTCATCTACTATTGTATTTGCTCTCACACCCGCACAGAGCGATTACCATAACCACGCACACCAGCACTTCATCTCCGCTTCCGCTGCCGCCAACAATGCTGCTGCCGCAGCCGCCGCCACCTGCCATTGCCAATTACCCGGATTTGGCACAAATCTGCATACAAAATCCACACAAGATGCGAAATTCAAAATTGTATTAGCAATTACGCTGTGCTGCGTTTTCATGGTGAGTAAATCAATCACAAAGCAGGCGAACCACGAAGCACGCACACACATACACATGCGCGCAACAACAACACTGTACATCTACCGTGTGTGTGTGTGTGTGTACGCTTATGTTTTATGCAAAAAGTGTTTAGCGCATCCAGCGAGTGCTGTATTACGGTGGCACGTGCCAGCCCAGCGGCAAGCGCAACACTTATTTTCACCTTTGTGCTGGCGGCGCGCATGGCGTATGAGTAACGCGCGCCGCCTAATGCGGCGTGTGAAATTCCCACAACCGGTCGGTCGCTGGCTCGCACTTAATTAATCAAACACCGGCATTGCTGCGCATGTATGTGTGTATATACATATATATGTAGTCATATACACACCCGTGCGGTTGTCACGCGCAAATCAACAAATTCGCCGACACTTTCCCTGGCCGCCCGCCTGCTTGCCCGCCGTGCACTCGCTGGTATGCACTGTCGCTATTGCCTTTGGCGTTGCATTTCCATTTCAATTATGTATTGTGTTTGCGCAGATTGTTGAATTCCTTGGCGGCTATATGGCCGGAAGTTTGGCTATCATGACGGATGCCGCCCACTTGGCGTCCGATTGCATTAGTTTTGTCATCGGTTTAGTGGCAATTTGGTTGGGCGGACGACCGCCCGATGACCGTATGACCTTCGGCTACAAACGCATGGGTAAGTGTGATGAATAGAATCAGTATTTACAATTTTTACAGTTACAGTTGAAAGACATTTTTATAAACTCGAAATAAATTTAGATAACTAATTATCTTGCAAGTGGAAAAATAAAACTAAATTGACGGTATTTACTAAAAATTTATTTAAATTTAATTAACAATAAATCTTAATAAAAATTATTTTAAAACCTTAGTTTAATCATAAGTGGTTTTCTAGATTTAAGTTTTTCTCTTAAAAGTGTAAAGATTGTCATAATTTTTCTTCATATGACGTTAGGATTATATCTGCTTATTTGCTGTCGCTCACGACATCGCTGATTTTTTTATATGAAAAGTTTATATAAGAAAAACATATTTAAATATTAAAAAAATATTTGGTTTTAAATCAAATCTTGTAAACAAATAGAATGAAGCTTGGAGAAAATATGGTATAGTCATTCTAAATAATTTGATCAAAGATTGTAGCGTTCGCTTGGTCAATAAACAATGTCCAATTTCACTAAGATACCCTATTAAATAAAAAATGGCTTTACATGAATTTGAGTTTTATTAGTCAGTTTACGAGTATATGGCAGCCATATGCTATCGTTGTCCGATTTAAACAAAAAATTTTGCAGTGGTTATTGCCCTCCCTTGAAAAATAAATTATACAAAAGTTTGTAAAGATAAATCCTCTATAAAAAAAGTTTTCCATACAAGGACATTGTTTTGATCGTTCAGTTTGTAAGGCAGCTATATCCTAGAATCGTCCGATATTTGCAGTTCCAACGAATGTGCAGTTTCTTGGGAAGAAAAGGACGTGTGCAAAGTTTTAAATCGATATCACAACAACTGAGGGACTAGTTCGCGTATATACTGACGACTTAGTTCGTCACCCTGTTTATTTATATACATATATATATATACTTTATAAAGTCTCTGACGCTTCCTTCCTTCTGGGTGTTACAAACTTTGTGACAAATTTAATATACCCTGTTCAGGTATATTATAACCACACTTGAAAAAGTTACCAACTATTCTAAAAAGTAAGTAAATTAAAGAAAAAGTAAATTCGAGATCAATATTGCAAAATTTAGTGATAATTCTTATTAATTTTGACACTAATTATTGTCAATAACAATTTTTAGCTGTTTTAACTTACGAACTATTTTTAAGTCATTTATTTTTTTCAAATTATTCGAAATTAAGAAAGAGTCTTAAATTTTCTTGTAGTACCTCCAAGTCAAGAACTGAGCAGATTTGGCAGTCTTTGGGGCCTCAGTCGTGTTTTTGAAGAAAACAGGAACAGCAATGAAAGATATAAGAACATTTTTCAAAGTTTTATTTTGAGGATAAGTCACACCTAATCCTTAAAATAAAGTTATTAAATCTGCATTAAAATAATCTATTTAAGAAAACATAATGCGGCTCTTAAAAACTCACTATAATATTGCTCTTGTGGCAAGATTCAATTGTTTCAACTTGAACACAATTAATATAGAATCGTCTTGTTGTACGCTGTCATGCTCTCGTGTGAAATTGTAACGGTAATTGTTGAATTGTGTTGAATTGAAACCAAAATAAAAAATAATAATCAGCTGTTAAGAAGTCGGCAAATTTTCGTAGATTTGTTAATTTTATTACAGCATATTTTTTGAAACACAAATTTTCAAATACACATATATAACTATATATTTGTCTACTCTATAATTTATCTAATCTAATTAGTGTTGTTAAATTGCTTACATTTTTATTAACGCATAACCAAATTCTCTCTGCTGTATATTGATTAGAGGTGATGGGCGCCATTGTGTCGATATTAGGTATTTGGATACTAACCGCAACACTAATTATTGTGGCCATGGAACGTTTATACTCCAATGACTTCGATTTGAAAGCCGACACTATGATGGTTATATCGGGCATTGGCATTTTAATTAATATCGTGTAAGTAGAAATAATCGAAATTATCTAATTTTAAATTTAGTTTGGTTTAATGTAAATAAACAAGGGCTAAGACCGGATGCGGCCAAACATTATCATATAGTTGTAAGAATCAAAGGTAAAGGCATATTTATTACAATCGATTACAAATAACATAAAGAACTAAAATAATTATATTAGGTATATTGGGGCTAAGGGAAGGTATGGACTAATTTCATTGCTTAAGAAATTAAACCAAAGCATGATATATAAAATGTTTCCTCTGAATTTTATTAAAACAAATGTGAGTTGTGTTCTCGATATGAAGTCAACTGGAATAACGAAAATCATTATCTGAAGAGGGGCTTAATTGAAATATAAAGAGATAGAGAAAGATTCAAATTAACAAAAGAGCGTTCTGTGTTTGTTTTGGGACTCGGTTTCATAGCAGGTGATATAAGGCCTTCAAAATATGGTTGCAAGGTTAAGCATTTTGCTAAGCATTGTTTTGGTTTTACACCAATATGTGAGTTTTGGGGATTCCAAATAATATATTAACCAATCCCATTTCATTTAAATATATGGTACTAAATAGCTACGGCATATTTATTTCTATGATTTGGAATAGGCTCTTCCATTCCCTTCGAAAATTTTTCTTGCCAGCACTATTATACCACAGGACATGGTGCCCTTAGCGTAAATAATTAATATAAGGTTCGGCAATTCTAGCCTCAAATTATGTAGACATGTAAGTTCAAAACCCAATACATATTTATAAGGAGTCTGAAGAATGGTTAATATTTTGTAAAAAAAATATATTATATATATTTCTACGCTAAAGACTGTTTATGATGCCAGTATTATTTAAATTAAGTACTTCCTAGACCTATGTTATTATAGTGAGAGAGTTTCTTTTTTTTTTTAATAATAGTAAAGAATGAGAACATTTTCTTTCATTACTTCAAAATATTATTATATATTTTATTAGATAATTCTGCCATAAGTTCTGTTACAAGTTCTGGACGTTATAAAAATGAAAATATCACACATTTTTTTTATAAAAGCAGTTTTATTTAATAACTTATATATATATATATGAAATGAGCAATGTACAAAATTTTATTCAAAATGATCGTCCTCTGATTTCACATAAGCCCTCAAACGATTTAAGACTCGCGACCATGGATCAATGGCAGCACGCACTGTTCCTATTGGTATTGACGACGCTGCTCGAACTACACATTTTTTGAGACTCTCCAACCACAAACTGTTGTACAATGAAGTCAAATCGGCACTTCCAGACGACCAATCATCTGTAGCAATGAATTCAAGAATATTGCTTTTAAGCCACTGCGATGTGATTTTTTGTTTGTTTGCTGGAGAAAAATCTTGCTGGAAGATCCAAGCTCAATATCGATGAGAGGATTGCTTAACTGCTTTACCACACTTTCTAAGGGATCCTTCTGATACACTTTTGCCTCAGCTTTTATACCTTTTTCACAGAAGTAATGAGATGTACTGCCTATAAATGAGACTCGCCACCAAACCATTATAACAGCTTTGGAATACCACCTTTTGAGTATAATAATAAAAACTCTCAAAATATACGAGTATTAATATTTGTATTACCGAAATATTGTTAGACAGAGTTGCCAACAATCGATTATTTAGATATGTAAAAAATTTAATCAATATTAGAATATTGCGCTTATAATATATACTATAATTAAAACATATTGGTTTCAAATGACTAATTTTAAAACATATAATATATTACACCGGTCGACACGACTTTTGGGTTGGACTTCTGCAAGGGAAATTTTTTATTTTTTTTTTTTGTATTGTATATCTTTTATGTTTTATGGTCACATCAGACGCATTTGTATCAATCAAAAGCATACCTTAAGAGCTCAAAATAAATTCAAGTGTTTGTCATTGTCTAGAATCAGAACTTGAGCATGAAAATGGAAACCCAAAAAAAAAAATTTTTTTGTTTAAAGGTGTTATTCATAAGCAAGATTGCTATCTACCTGAAAAAAAAAATTTACTCGACCTGCAAATGAAAAAGTTACATTAATTGTATTACTTGAATCAGAGTTGACACCATCTCAAAAAAAGAAAAATGTAACAATAAAGTCCATAAATCACATCATATACTATTATGTGGGTAACAAACAGAACGTATTTGAGACAGCTCTATTCGGAAAATTCGTTAATTAAGATTTGCCATCTAACTAAGTCTTTCAAACTTGAAGTTTTGCAAAACTTTTAATAATCGAAAAAGATAAAGTAATACTTTTTTCATAATTTACTCTTTTAAAATTTTACGAATTTTAATGAAAGCATTTGGTGTTAAAATATGTACTGATAATAACAAAAGTTCGATACAAATATTTTTAGTTATTCTACTGACTTTAATTTCAAAACAATTAAATTCTCTCTCATCGGTGGTAATTTCAGTAAAAAACGCACTTATTTACATGTATATGAATGCATTTTATTAAAATTTAATTGCCAATTCAGCTGCAATTCATTTGCATACATATTTTATTCGTGCGTTTTTACGCACCTAGATAAGAGTACATACATATGGAGTATACGATATAGTATTGCTCATTTAAAATTCGTATTGTCGGCTGCGCACTTTTTTATTGAACTCAAATTTGTTTCACATATGTCTTTCAGCATGGTTTTCATACTCCACGGCTCATCGCTAACGCATGGAGCTGCTCATGGTCACAGCCACGCACATGCACATGCGCACTCACATTCGCACAGCCATTCAGCGTCCGCCGACAATGCTTTGCTGCAAGTGAATGGTTCAAATGGCGGCGGTGGCAATGAATACAAAAAATGGTGAGTAAAAAATATGCTAACCAGTTACTCAAATGTACTTACACGTATACAAAAATATATATGTATTTGTGGATAAGTTATATACAGTTAAGTAATTCAGTTAAAATTACTGTAGAAATCCAAACTAATTTATAGTCTTCACTATAAGAACTTCAAGTGTATATTTAAGTTGACGATTTGAGTAGCTCGGTCAATTAATATGTTAAAACCGATTAATTTCTAACTTGTTTTTATAAAATTAAAAAAACTATAATTTCATAAGGTTTCCAAAATCATATAAGTACTTTAATTAAAATGAAAGGACAATTTGATTAGGTGCTTAAATATAACACTTATTTTTATCAGTGTGACTCTTCAAACAGTTCTCCCTTTTATTTACCAGTAATAAGAGACATTCTAATATACTTATCAAGTTCCCGTTTTTATCCAATACCATTTATTTCTTTTAGGTTTTATGGTCACATCAGACGCATTTGCATTAATCAAAAGTATACCTTAAGAGCTCAAAATAAAAATTCAAATGTTTGTCAATGTCTAGAATCAGAACTTTAGCATGAAAAAAGAAACCCAAAAAAAAATTTTTTTTTTTGTTTAAAGGTGTTATTCATAAGCAAGATTGCTATAGTAATTAAAGAAAGCCTTCTTGTTCTGACAAAAAGGATGGTTACAACAAGAAATATATTTATATATACAGCTAGCCAAGCGGCTTTGAATTCACTAAAGTTTCTTCGGGTTGTATCAAAGGTAGTGAAAGAAAGTCTTTATGAATTGGTGAAACTTGTATCTTATTTCACGATAATCTGTAAAATCGAAGATAGTGAAAGTGATGCCTTGGTCTCTTAGTCAAACTAACATCCCATTTCACGATAAACTTGCAATGGGTCCCAGGATATACCATAGTGTTATTCTAGGCAACTTTGAATCAAATGAATCAACCAGAACTCGTAGATTTGAATCTCAGTGGAAGCATTCCATGCCTTGGTCAATAAGCAGACAAACGAGGGATGAACGGAGTAACATGCCACTGCCTTATTGGAAGACATGTCAGTAGGTAGGAGGATACCATACAACGATTACTGCAGAAGCGGCCAGAAGGTAGAAGAAAACGAGACTGTAGAACATCTTTTACGCGGATGCAAGTCTTTGTATAGAAAAAAAAATGCAAAAATCGGTCGTGGTTTTTTGATGAAGTCTCGAAAGTTGTACGTAGTCATAAAGAGTGGTTCAGAGATTACATGATAGTGTGAGGAAATTTAGGCCCCTGTGGTTTCACAGTAGGTCTCCTAAAGCCAGACGTCTACTTACCTATCTACCTAATATCCAACTTCATGTTGATATTCAAAAGATCTATGGCAAAGGTATTCAGAATCTAGCCCGTAGTATTAGAGTCTTCGGATTCACAACACCATTATGCGGCTCAAAACTGCTGTTCTTCATTCAGTTCCTTTCTTTCCATCAACATATTCGTCGCATGTATGAGCATAAAGCTGAAACCGCTAGAAGTTTCAAGATGAACCTATTTCTAATAAAATTTTTGTTTAGCATTAGTCAAAAAAGAATATTTGGTGAAATGGCGATTTTTAAGCGAACTATTTAGTCAATGATTTCTGACATCTGAATTAGTTGGTTTTTAGATTCAATGCGTACATCTGTTTTGTTTTTAAAACAATGCATATGTGAAGGAAAAAGCAAAATTATGCAACGAGTATTTTTTTAGACGTGTGGTATTCATCGAAGCAATACTTTTTTCGGAGTTGGTCTGTTTGATATATGTTGTTTGATTTATACTCATTTTAGTTTTTTGTCATTCTATAATGAACAGACTTTCTCCGGAACAACGTTTGCAAATGGTAGAAATTTATTACTAGAATAATGATCTACGTCCAATATTCGGTCCACATAATCGCCCAACAGAGTCTGTAATTCAAGCAACTATGAATCGGTTCAGCACCGCTAATGGATAATGCGCATTCTCAAAGACGCCGTACAGTGCGCACCAAAGACGATATAGTTGTTGTGGAGCAGGTTATCGAAGAAGACCCGAATGCGTCCATCCGCCAACATTTGAAACTGTGCACATCCACTTTATGGAAGCTTTTGCGGACCATCAAGCGCGTCACATGTTCGGTGAATGGGTTCAAAACGCGATTGCCACCGACACCGATTTTCTCAAGAAAATTTTATTTAGCAATAAAGTTTACTTTTAGTTGAATGAGTACGTTGATAAACAAAATTTTCCCATATGTTTCCAATAAGACGGCGCTACATGCCATCGCCATACAGCTAACGAAAAAATCAATTTATTGAACGAAACTTTTGGTGAGCGCATTAACTTGCGTCGTGGGCTTGTGATGTGGCCTTCATGAACGTGCGATTTAACACCGCTGTATTATTTTTTATAATTTTTATTAATTCCTGGGAAGAATATGGCTGACATGCGGCTCCAATTGTTGCCAAAAATTGTTCGGCCTCACGGCTGCAATTTATACGAGTTAGCCGCGGCAATCATTTGGCCGAAATCATTTTTAAAATATAATGCCACACCCTTATCTCTATAACAAAACTAAATTTTTGGCCGTAATATTAAATTGTGTGTGTATTGTTTGTTCTTGTCTAAAAAAAAAACGCCTTTTGTTGTTATGAGTCGAGTAAAATTTCTATTTCTATTTTACTACAATCGGTTTCATGCCAATATCATTTACATTTATACCAGTTTTTTGTTCGAGCCACTACTCTACCGTTTTTTGCGAACCGAAGACAGCTTTTATGTTATATATTAACTATTTATGACATTATCCCAATTTTACAGTTAAACTGAAAACTCAGCATGAGATTTCATCTGATAAACTAATAACTGTAACTTTATCAAGATATAAATACTTCAACTAAATTCACGCACAAAAATTTACAGCAACTTAAATTTGTATGCCACGCAGATTTTCATTTCTCCTTGTTTCTGTTTTTTCCAATTTTTTGTTTTTTGTTTTTTCCTTTCAATTTTAACTTTTGATTTTCCCATACGTGTTTTTCGTTTTTCAATTTCTTGTTATTTGCAAATTCCCATTAATACTTACATGCGCTTGTATGTAAATGAAGTTAATCCAAGCGGATTCATGTGCATAATTCATATTGACTTGTGCATATTTTCGTTTACAAAAGTGCTTAAAATTGATTTCGCCAGCGCTTTTTATGAATTTCAAATGCGTGCGATGCGTGTGTGCGCTTATTTATTTTTTGCGCCGTGCTGATGTATTTTCCCTACATACATAGATGATAATTTTCCCCCATTTTTTGCTGGCAATTATTAATTTTTTCCTCATTTGACACACTCGCTCTCGACATTTGTGTCAATAAGCAACACATTTCAATTTACCGCCAGCGATTTACCAACTTAATTCGCAAGCTATTTTTTCGTCCTGCAAATACACATGTGTATGTGTATGTGTGTGCCAGCGGATTTTTCTCTTTTAATTATAGTTGCAATTATTTTTTACATGATTTTGGTAGTTTCTGTTTTTAGCTCGCATTTTCGCACTCGCTTCTGCACTCATCTATTTTTAATTTTTTAACGCTCACATTTTTTCTTGATTAACTTTTAATTTACTTATTTATTTATTTATTCGCTTTGAATATTTTTAAATTTTTTTATCATTGCGCCCACCCACAGTGATACCGCCGAGAACCTAAATTTGCGCGCCGCCATGATACACGTCATCGGCGATCTGGTGCAGAGCATTGGCGTCTTTCTTGCATCAATTTTGATACAAATTTATGTAAGTCAATTTCGCGCTGATTCCACCGTTTAAATTTTTTATTTAATTTGTGTTTTATCTCTTTTCCACCGACAGCCTAGCGCGAAGTTTGCCGATCCGTTGTGCACTCTTCTGTTCTCCGTTATCGTTTTCATGACCACTGTGCCTCTGTTTCGGGAATCAGTTGGTATTCTTCTGGATGCTGTGCCGTCGTCGATCTCACTGCGTAGTCTGGCGTTGGATTTGGCCGACATTGAAGGCGTTAAGTGAGTGCTGTTTGGATCTGTTAAAGTCAACACTGACATATGACATATAAGTATTATATTTACCCTTCTCTATGCTCTTTTTTCAACAGATCCGTACATCATTTGAACGTCTGGAGTCACACAAATAACCACAGCGTCATGATGGTGCACTTAGTCATTGGTGAGTATTTCTTTGCTTCGGCATTCCTACTAAAGATAAAAATACAAGAATTAAGTGAGAAACTGAAGTCCGAAAACTCAGGTTAGTTGAGGATACGTTGAAAAGGCTTTCTCTCCACAAAATTTAACGATATATTTCACTAAAAGAGAATTGTCTAAAACCTTAAAATTTGACCTGGAGCTTCACCATTCAGATGATTCCGAATTTGTAGTTTCGATCTCAGTTTATTTCATAGAGCTTTTCAAGAAAAATTAAAACGCATGTAATTTAATGTTATGCACAAGAATATAGCTTTGCCATTGTGGTTTCAAAATGATTCCGGTCAAGTGTCCGCCACAGTCTCGGACTTATCTGTATATAGACAAACGACTTCCTATAACCCCATAAAAAAGAGTCCAGCGGTGTTAAATCTCACAATCTTGAAGACCACGCCACAGACACATGACACGAGATAATACGCTCACCAAAAGTTTCTTGCAATAAATCGATTGTTTAGTTAGCTGTATGGCGGTGGCATGTAGCGCCGTCTTGTTGAAACAGAAGATCGTACATATTTAGTCATATCTTATCCTTTCTGGTTTTAAAATACACTCCAAACATTTATGCTGTTAGCGAGGGTCCACCGCACCTACAAGTAGAACATACTGGCTTTTTTATATTTTGCGTCTGCCGAAACTCATAACCACGGCACACTGAGTTATCACGCTCTCGTCCTTCAAACCCACATTACTAAAGTATCGGAATGGAGCTCAGTGCAGTAGAGATTATGACAGTTTCCCGTTACTTTATATGCCATATGGAAAAAGTAGAATTTAAAATTACTATTAAAACTTGATAATACGTAACGTGTCGCAATGACTTGTGCTATAACATTCTTGGTTTTTGAGATTTTTCATCCTTAGTAGTGCTCTCAATAAATTAGACAAACGACGCGATATGGTCACGATGCTATCTCAATCCATTTATGATTCTAGAAATGCCTTCTTAACCAAATAATGATTCGATTCTGACTGAGCGATCAAAATCCCTATATAGTCGTTTCGGTTCGGTTCGGTTTCTAAAAAATCAATTTAAAAACGACTCTGTTCGTTTTCCTCGTAGTTCATGGTCATCTGTGATTATTTATTCAGCACGTATTATTGACTTCTTAGAATCTCAGCAATTTCTGAATAATCTTGGAATGCAATTATAATTCCAATGCAAGCGTCACGTTCAGCCATTAATTTTTCACTAAATCTTTTAATTGAATTCTGAAAAAGTAAATAACTGCATTTACTAATGAGTTATATTAAATTTCCAATTTGTGCATTCACAGATTTTCTCTCGGATAGCAACACGGTGCTGCAGCGCGCCACACAAGTAGCCTGTGGCAGCAAATATGATATCAAACATTGCACCATACAAATCGAACGTTCCTCGAGCGCATAAAACCATTGCATTTAGACGAATAAGCCAACATATGCTTGTGTGCAGCAAAGAAGAAAAAAGTAAATGAAATTAAAACTTGTAATAAAATCATTAACTTTATGATTTTTATTGCCAAAGACTGAACCGACAGATTAAACGAGCGTTGGACGCCTTGCCAGACCGATGAATGTGTGAAGAGATTGTGAAATTTAAGTTTAATAGTTAGCAGTGCGGGTAGAGTAAGAGAGATAGGAGAGGAGATGATATACAAGGAGAGGAGATCTATATACATATATCTATGTGTTGGTGCTCATTTATGAGCGCTTAAGGACGCTTGGAGGAGGAGGAGGAGGAGACGGCATCCGAGCTGGAGTAATTCCATCACAGACAATTGACGTTGTCATTAAATGCTCTGCGCTAATTGATCGTTAAATTTATTACCGCTATGACAAGGCGCTCGAGTGCGTGGATATATGGCTGTTTCTCATATATGTTTATATATATATGAAGAATGTATATATTTCACACGTGTGCTTCATAAAATGTGTACAGCATATATAAGTATATGCACATATATACACACATATCAAACGACCCCAACTCACAATCATTTATTGCCATTACTCACTATTACTAAGCGTGAAACACCAAAGTTCACCGCTAAAACAAGCAAAAAAAAACCAAAAAAAAAAACTAAAATAAATAAACTAAAACTCAAACAAATCACAAAGGTGTGAATATAAATTGTAGCTTTCGTAAATATATGTATAAGAGTATATACAGAAAATAAACAGTCTGCTGTTTGCTTGTTTTATCGCGCTCAATGTGATAATGAAAATCCTCGCGGTTAAACAGCAATTACAGCGCTGCAATATTCAGGTAAACAAAATTGCAAAAAAAAGTATTAGAAAAAAATAAAATTGTAAAATAAGCAACAGTTAATTAGTATATGTATGTGGCCTTAGTTTTTGAGCGTGTATATTAATATTATGTAGTTGTATATGTCTAATAGTTACTATGTAAGTTGTTGTTGCATCACAAAAATTAATTAAAATTGTCATATTTATTCAGCGAGGCTAATAAAAGTAAAATATTAAATGCCAGAAGTATAAAATTTAAATGAAACCGGGAAACGATTGCGACTTTTCAATTATTTTGCTTTTTATTTAGGTGTTATTTACTGCTTCGTCGCACCCACGTTTACCGCACTCTACAAATATTACTTAAATAATCACATCTACGAAGCCTTACCTAAGCACACGTACTTGAAAGCTGTCAATCAATCGAAGCTTGGGTGGTAACGTCTAAATTCGAGTCGAAGACGGCAAATGATCAGAAAACTCACAACAGTTGGTTGTTCTATGTTCTATGTCTGTATGCATATATTTATATATGGTTGTATGTTTCAGTGACACTGAAACTGAATAGCAAAAGAACTGTTCAATAGGCACTGCAAAAAAATATAAAAGTGGCAAAACTATACAGCTAAAATCAACGCTGTCATTTGAATAACAAATTAAGAAAGTGAAAACATTCTTTTGAACTACATTAAAATAAAAAATAAAAAATAACTATAGTTTAAAAAAATAAGAAACACGATCTTAAAGCACTTCAAACTATATACTTATATTATTCTAAGAAAATAATTTTTTTTTGATACAACTAATAAGTAAATATGAACATTAAATATTTACCAAACCCCCCCCCCTCCGATAGTGTGAAAATGGTTATATAACGGGTTTTTTCTAAACTACTGAAAGTGCAATTAATCAATAAATAATAACTCCAGAGACATTAAATTTTACATCCGTCCACATTTAGGTAAAAGCACATATCACCGGACCTACTTGACCAATTTCAACCATAACATTATCTTGACGATCCTATATTAAGTTGTGAAAGTCGGACTGAAACCACGCCTACTTCCTATATAGCACAATTTTACATTCCATATAATTTTTTCACATTCCAGTACACAAATGAAGCACTAAAGAATATACTCAGATAAAAATTTGCAAAAATTGGTATGATATAACGAATATGTAGACCCGAGTACGTATGGCTGCCATTCAACCGAAAATATCGGTTAATCTGTGAGATATGTTACTGAAATTCGAGAAAAATATTTCTGTGATAATACTATACTCTCGTGTCAAAATGAGTTGAATCGGATCAATATTTCTCTTAGCCCCCATATACCTAATATAAGGATTTTCGAACTTCCAGTTGACTTAATATATATTTTCGGCCAATGTGGGAGTTATTAGTGATTTCAGAATATCCAGCTGATTTTAGATCGTTTAGGTTGGTCAAAATGTGTGAAACTTTAATAAAATGGTGTAGACAAGTATAATAATAATTTAGCGCTAAATATGAATGGAGTCTGTCTAGATTTTGGTTTAAACCTTATATTCCTAATATAATTATTTCCGATCCTCTAGTTGATGCTTTCCACATCAACTCAATATATTAAATTTAGCTTCTTCGGTTGAGTTCATATCACATTTATTTCATTTGCGGATGATTTTCATAAAATTTCACCTGACGCGGAGTAAAATATAGCAATAGAATTAAATTGGTCTATGCTCTATAATATAACTTAATGAAATTCCAATTTTGTTTGTATTCCATTCGCGATTTTGTCGAAAAATGTATGCTGAATTCTTTCTCCACATGATAGCACATATGATAGTGCTATGTACCAGTTTTGTTGAAATTGGTCGTGTAGTTGCTGCGGTATGGAATATTTCCACGCCATCCAGATGCAACTTTTCCGTCCCATCCTTACTGTAAAATGTAATGTTACCGACGTAGCTGCGGTTATTATTCAATTTCATCCGTTTTCATTTCTATTGATGAAGTGTCAAAAATGATTAAATATCGACGAAGAATCTTTTGCGGGGCCAAGTCCAAATTCCATAAATTTTTCAATCTACAGATGTCGCTCCCCATTGTAATCTCTGTCAGAGAGAATTCAATTCATCTTATCAGTATGCAACCAACGGTAAGTTTTCCAGATCTAAGGCATCCAGATCTTCAAGTTTATGGAGAACAATATTCTAATATACAAATTAATTGCTTTTGTAAGGCAGTCATTATTTTCACTGCGTAACTCATCGCCCGCATATTTTATGCGTAATTTGTTTTCTCTGGCAGTTTAGTTATTCGATCAACGTCCTTGTTGCCGGTCGTCATAGATCAAGTTAGGTCTAGCAACAGTGTCAACGTTTTCGGTCATGGTTTGACGTTGATCGCCTTTTAGTCTGGAGTACACTAACACTGGAGTAATGTGTCTATTTCGCAGATAGAGATGAATGAATGAAAACGTACCTGCCTCTTTCCCTATACACACTTTGCATCACTGGTTATGAGCTTTTTAAGAGCTTTCCCACAAAGAGTCTGAGAAAGCTCTTTTTACTTGATTAAATAACGTGTTCTTCAAACCTGTTGAGCACTTTTATCTTACTATATTTTCGGTAAGAAGCCTGAGAGTGAGGATCACATAACTAAAAAAAAAAATTGTATTACAGTCGCCTCTGAGAAATTAGAACCACAAAACAGCCTTCGGATTGAAATTATTTTCTAAAAAGAGGGGATCACCATTTGAACCCACATAATATTTTAAAATTACTCAACCTAACAAATTTTCACTTACTTCCTTATCCATGAAAAATCCAAATCCGACATCCGATTATTTTTTGAAAAAATCTTATGAAGTAAATTATGAAATATATTATTATTAATATTTTGTTCAAATTGTTAGTAGCGCTAATGCGTTCCTTCTGGATCTTATACCCTGAGGTCTGTTTTTGAAAGAATATTAGAGTAATTAGACGTAGCTTTACAATAATTTTATCACGATAAGTGTGATTCAGCGTTTTACATTTACTTTTAAATAGCTTCAGTCAAATTACACATAGATATGTACACACCTGTCGGGTTTTCCAATAGGGATGATATGATTTATAGGTGTCGTTTCGGCCATTTTTAATAAGTCATGATCTGTAATATTTTTTCATTGTATTCAGTAATTTTTACAATTTCATCATGGAAAGATACAACGTACAAGAACAACCGTTTTCAAATCATCTTCTCCGATGAGGCTTACTTTCATCTACGTGGTGCGACAAACAAATAAAGCTGTCGATTCTGTTGCGAAGAAAACTCACAAATTATTCATGAACAACCATTACATTCACCTTAATTGACAGTTTGGTGTCGTTTTTGGTCTGGTGGAACTCTCGGAAAACTTCTTTCCGTTACTGTTAATGGATCGATCTATACGATGATAACCAACTTTTTATGGTAGCAATTGGAAGAAGTTGATTTTGACAATATCTAGTTCCAACAAGACGGAGCCACGTGTCACGTCGGAAGTGCAACAACCGAATTATTGCGAGAAAAATTTGGAGATTCGATAATTTCAAGAAATTGTGACATTAAATTGCCTCCAAGAAGTTGTGATTTAACATCATTAGACAACTTCTTGTGGGGTTATTTGAAGGCATTGGTCTTTAAAAATAAACTAGACTCTTTTTAAGCTTTACAAGGCAATATTGAACGTGCTATTCATGACATACGACTTGATTTAGTGGAAAAAGTACTCGAAAATTAGGTGAATTGTATTTATTGTAATTGTACGTAATGTGTTTTTTTTTAAATCATATCACTCTTATTGGAAAACTCTGTATAAAATTCACACAACAACTAGCCAAAACATGTATCAGTGTGACGATAAATAACGAATGACATAAATTAATTGCGTATATCCCTTTTTAGATTTATTTTGCACGAACAAACTAATAGCTTGATTTTCAATTGCAACAAATAAACAAAACGCTTAGTAAAGCTTAATTTATTGCAAACTCTGATTCTTATATCTGAAAATTCAAATTACTGAGATTTCTAATTTGTAAGCTTCGACTGTACTAACAATAACTGATCAAAATATAAGATATGATAGGTAATTTATATATTTGGCTCACTTTCAACAATTTTCCATACAAGATAGACGTTTAATCAGATTCATAGGTGAGATAGTTTTTGCGTAATCGTGCACACCAAATGCAAAATCACGGTTTTTAAAAAACTTATATTTCATACATATGGTTTTAGGTAGATCGATAGGTTTTAGGTAGATCGATAGGAAATTAAATGATCCAACCTTCTAAGGTCCATAAAGAAAATATAATAGGATGTTTCACCTAACACAACCAGTGTGACAGTATAGTGATATGATATATATATAATAGTGATGCCACATTAATTAAATTAGTAAAAGTTATTAATCATATATACAAATAAATATGTATACAAACAAATATGTATACAAATAAATATGTATACAGCAACAAATTACAGTCGAATCTACCCAAAGCGTACTCTAAATTGGCAAAATACCTCCGCATATTTCTATACAACTGTTGCATGCATTTTCAAGTGCAACCCGCTATAATTATGCCCGTACACACAGTTGAGCGCCACATTTTCACACTAGAAGAGATCTGCAGCACGTTAAGAATTCAATTGCAAAATGCTTAAAAATCATAAACGTAACACAAGCGTAAACACAGTTACATATGTGTGTGTAAACATATATTTACAGTGTTCGCACCACTTAATAGGAACGCGTTCAACTTTCCACAAAAAAAAATTAAGAAAAACCAGAATATTTTTATAATAATATAAATCCAATACTTTATAATTTATGCTCATTTTTATATAAATGTGTGTGTGTAAATACAATTTTTGTATACTTACATTTCCCTATATCTTATTTACCACTTCTTCCATGTCATATGTCATTGCCACGAGGCGTATAAGTAACAGCCCACACGTTGCTGTGCAAGTAAGTTTGTGTGCGTGTAAAAAGTAATAATATCCATGCATTATTAATTGTAATGTACTAAAGCATATTAAATATGTGTGAGTGTAGGAAAAACACATTTGTATCTGTGTTAAAAAATAATAATTTAATATTATTTTAAATTCACTCAAGCGTAAATGCAACGCTGCGCAACTGTCGCTGTGTCTGTGTCTCCAAGGCTTCTGTATCAAGTGTGTCTCATGCGTGCACTTTAATCTCGCACACAATACTG